TGATCTTGGATGTGAAAGGGTTAAGCAATAAGCTTTTGATAAATCCTTTTACAAAAATAAATTTTATCAAAAGGAAATAGCATTCACCCAGCAGATCGATAAATCAAAGGGCCGACTTCTCCAAACAAACTATTTATCTCGTCTCGATATGCAAAACAAAATAACTTAAACCATCTTAATTAACCAAAAGGTACTGTATTAAGATTGAGGGATGGAACAGAAATCACAGTAGTTTAACTAACTGATTCTGACTATTACTTTCGACTGGTTAGCAACGCTAACTATCCTAACTATATTCCTTTTTTTATGCTATATAATTTGCATGTATGATCGCTTATGAAATGTATCACCTGCAGGATAAAAAACCTGATTTACCTATTCTGGGTTAGATCCTCAGCAATATACTGTATAACTATTTTAATAAAGTATTTTTCGAGTTCAGATCCCGAATATTATATTAATAAAATAATATACTGTTCAGCTAGTAAAGTGCCTCAAGGCTAATGCATGTAGGCGTGTGCGACATAAATAAAACGTGTTTCTGATCCTCGTTAAAGTATATATGATGTAATATGTAATAGTCTGCAAATCATCTATGAAACTATGCTTGTGCGACAGTATAATTTCACATATAAACCGATCCCCAAAATATTTCGCCATATGCATTACCCCCCAACACCTTTCTAAAGTCGAGATCTTCAATGCGTACCCTACATGTCCTTATTCTCGAACACAACATTTTTGGCGTAAAAGTCATTTGCATATTCTCCTGTCTCTTCCCCCAACATGAATACAAGCCCAGAGAGAACGTCATTTAAAAGGGTAGTATACTGGAGTGATTACTATTATAACTTTTTTTTATTTTTATCATGCCTGCTGATTTATACTTCAATGTAACGTCTTATATAAGGTAAACAACGGAATCCTTTACATTAGTTCTGCATAAATCTTCCATGGAATTCTTTGTATCACATTGCTTATTTAAAAAGGGACCTTTTTTTTTTTTTTTAAAAAAAAAAAATTTCTTCTCGAAATATATCCGATATTTACTTATTTAAATATATATTATTATTATTTTTTTTTTAAAAAAAAAAAAGAAAAAGAAAACTGAGAGCAAAATGAACATGGAACATTATAAACTAAAAATTGATTTTTTAATGGAAAGTGGTCCCGCTCCTTCAAGTATGGTCTTAGTTCCTCAGCACGCGAGGCGCGACCAGGTACCACCAAGGAAAAAAAAGCCATTATTTAAAAAATCTCCTGAATATAAAGCATGTATCGAATGCAATAAAAGAAGACCTCTAGATGAAACTCAAGGAGTTTGCCGAATTTGTCACAAAGCAGCCAAATTATTTAAACCGACCGGGAATAAAGTTGTGGATGATTTTATTAGGAATACGCAAATTAGACTTTACCTAGAGGTTGGAGTGATGGAGTTTGTTCCCTATGATCGATTTCAAAATATAGAATTCATTGCCGCAGGTGGATTCAGTAAAATTTATAAAGCTCAATGGACCGAAGGTTTTCTTTATTGGGACGAGAACAAGCTGAATTTTGAACGGTCTGGCCCTATGAACGTTGCCCTAAAGAGACTTAACGATTCTGAACATATCACTTATGAGGAGTTAAATGAGGTATAAAATTTTTCCCTACTTTTTTCGTCATTACAATGATAAAAATTAGTTAACGTGTAAAATCTTTTTTTTTTTTAAAAAAATAATTTCAGCTTAAAATTTTTTATCTCCGTAGTTTAAAATGGAAATTGGAAAGGCATTCGGATCTTAATTATGTAAATCGATGTTATGGAATCACCCAAGAACCCCTGTCAAAAGATTTTATTATAATTATGGAATATCATCAATACGATTTAAATCATTACATAATAGATGAATTTAACTATATCCCTTGGTGCAAGAAACTGTACACGCTGCACAGCATCACAACTGGACTTGAGTATATTCATAATTCTGAAACCGTTCATCGAGATCTTCATGGTGGAAATATCCTCATTGAAAGAAATTTTTCAGTGTTATGTGATTTAGGATTGAGTAGATCTTCAATCGAATCAGCGAACGATTCACAAGGGGATAATGAAATTTATGGAGTCATTCCATATGTCGCTCCAGAAATTTTTGAAGGAAAAAAATATACCATAGCTTCGGATGTATATAGCTTTGGAATGATAATGTGGGAGTTTATGAATGGTAGAAGGCCTTTCTGGGATAAGAAACATGATGCAGAACTTATCGTTGAAATTTGTGATGGTCTTCGTCCTTCAATTGTCACAAATGCACCTACAGGTTATATTGAATTAATGCGAGAATGTTGGGACTATGATCCACTTAAAAGACCGGTTGCTGCTGAAATAACTAAAAGAATAAACGATATGTGGGAAATTGAACGTAAATCTGGGACGGAGATATCTAGAACGATTGAAATTGGACCGACTAGATTAACCCATCCGGATGCAATCTACTCAAGTAGGCTATTAAGTGGATTAATAAAATCCGCTATGTTTGTAATGTCAATAAAAAGTCTGAAAAATCAAACTGTTCCTTCTATTACTTCTAATAATAATACATCAGGTAAATATTTTTATGGTAACAAATAAAACGTATTAAGTTTTATGATAATAATCTTAAAACAATTACTTTTCTTAAAAGTTAAAAGAAAGACTGATGATAATTTGACGGAAGACAAGAACAAGAAGGACGAAAACAAGGACAAGGAAAAGGTCAACAAAGACAAGGAAAAGAAGAGGGCCAAGAAGAAAAAATTATCCGAGGATTAAAATAATGGTAAAGATACATTTTTTATTAGAGAGGGTATATTATCATAATTAATTATCTTCAAATGAATCAAAACAAAACGATTTTTTTATATATATCTATAATAAAAAATATATATATTTTGTGTATAATCAATTGCTTTAACGTTAAAGCATTTAAATTTATATTTACAGTATATTTAATAGATTTATAATTTTTTTAACATTTGAAGAGGTCGTCGTTTGGAATTATTTAGATATTAGTCCCCTTAGACTTTTTTTATGGCAGATCAATATTCGTGTGTATAAGCTTATACTGCACTTGCAAATTGAAAAATGAGTTGGTTATTTAGTTAATCATAATGGCAATGTAAATTAGACATTCATAATTAAATATTTTGATATTAACGTGACATTCCTTTTTTTAATGTTTATTGTGTTTTTTTGAATTATGTTAAAGTGATTGTATATTGATACAACATGACTATATTTACCATCAATTGAAAAAAAAAATTAAATTTATGGAGATTAAAAGCCACTAACCGACATGCATCAGCGCTCTCAATTATTATGCTAAATTATAAAAACTGGTTGAGCAATTGCATGACTAAATGAGAACAATGTATCAAATTCATTTAAAAATTGTTTCACAGAACAAAGATTGAAACTCATTTTTTTAGAAAATTGATGTAGTGGGAAAAAAATAAAAAAGTAACATATAAGAAATGCGAACAGTACATAGTGAAATCTCAATGGATAAAAATTTTTTTTTTTTTTGAGGCAACGTTAAAATTTTTTTATTCCTGGACAATGATTGTTTTATCATATTTGTTGATCACTATCACGCCATGTGGTGAATCAGGTCTAGTATAGAGGTTTGGTATTACAATAATAATTAACGTTGCACGGTTTCTAATTTTGTAGTCATTGAAAGCGTTTTATTTATTATCTGATAAAATTTTTTTTATTAAAGCCATGTTTGTTTAACATCTGCATGGAGGAACGAGTAACAGCTTTCAATTCATATCCCATAATAAATATTTCCCTAATTGAAGTAAAAAAACGGAATATATTTTTTAATATTACGAATTTAATTAATTTCGTTTGGAAAGTGAATCTATACTATTAAAAGTACTTATTTTTAATAATACATCACTCATGACATTTAAAACATGTAAGAGCGGGATTGGTCAAATGCTCATTTATGTTTTGTAGTTTATTTTCTCAAATTACAATGAAAAAAAAGTTCTTTGTGAATCTTTATATTATACTCATTCAATAAAATTTCTTGCCCAAATTTGCAAAGTGAAAATTCTTTAGATATTCTTGTAGAATCATTTGTAGACGGCGAATTCCTGCTTTAGAAAAGAAAAACTTTTTTTAATTTATATATTCATATTCTTTAGAATCATTTGCAATAAAAAACTTTCCTTTCAATTATAATAATCGTAACAAATATTTCTCCTTTGTACAATTAAATACAAGAAGAAATTATTTTTTGATATATTCAATTTAATTCATACATATAGTAGTCCCTTTAAAAATAAATGCGCGAATTTTAATTTGTTCTCAGAAAATAAATAAATAAAGATGTCCAATGCATTTAATTTATTAAGCAAAAAAAAGTTCCTAGGGGGTATTATCCTTTTAAATATTTTCAATAACATTAATCGTTGAGTAACAAAACTTTTGAAACAAAATCATTTGATGAACATTTAATGCTCCAAAAACAAAAAGGAATTTGGTACCAGTTCGGCAAAAATTTGTAACCCAACTATCCGGTTGATTTGATCTAAGATCGTTGTAAAGAGGCGGAAAGGGAGGTAATTGTAAAGCTTACCCAGAAAAATTTCATCCACGTGATTTTTGGCCGACCTTGGAACAGCCCTAGCGTCGCCCGTAAAAAATGGTAGCCGGATTTTATTTGCCGGGTCACATATACTTATTAGGAGTGACATATAATTCATTTTTCTCTCAAAGTCCCCAGAATACGTGACAAATTTGCTAACCCCCTTAAACCAATCCTAATTCTACCCTAATCCTAATCCTAATACAAACCTAACTCTAATACTAACCCTAATAATAAATAC